AACGGAGAGCAAAAGACGGAAGCAAGCGCCTGTGAAAGCCTGAGATTTGCAGCATGCGTTTGCGGCCTGTTGGCAAGATCACCGGAACGAACCCAAAAAGAAAGAAAAACAACCCGACACTGCAACCACCAATTGAAACCACCAATCCAAACCACCTGGAGGGACACCAACACAGACAGAAAAAAAAAACAAAACAAACAAATACCAACAAAAAAAAACAAAAAGAAAAAACCAAACACCGACGCCACTCCGAAGGCGGCCAAACCTCCGGGCCCTTCTCCGCAGGACCTGTGCTGGGCCTTGCACTCCGACTGCCAGGGAACCATCGTGGACATCATCCTGGAGGCGAGAGGTAGGCAGTGAGGCGGATTAACTTGGGCCAGCGCCCGAGTTGGATGCCACTTTCTTTTGGGCCGGAGTAGGTTCGGAATTTCTGGTTCCAGAAGGGTTATACAGCTTACAGTCTGAATAACCGGGACCCCGCTGAAACTTTTGGGCCAAAGCTCAGCAGCAGGCTTCGTTTTTTCTTCTTCTTCCTTCTTCTTCTGGTTTCAGACAGGTAGAGCCTGCCTGAATAATTAAGTTTCCGAGCACGCTCGTAGAACCAAACGTCAATGGGTGTTGGGCGCATGAGCAGATCGGGAGGGCTTTCTCTTGAATTTAGGGGTCGCGACAGGCGTTCTTTTCCGGGAATCTACAGACATGAGTGCTAGAAGCATGAAGTAAGTGAGCTGCAGGCCTTGTATGCGCGCTATGTGCTTCCTGCAAGAGCCAGCTCAATTGATTGGACCCCCCATCCAAGCAACGTCCATGGTCACATACCAACGCACACACACACACACAGATCAAATGTCAGGCCAATTTTTCTCCCAATCAGTAGACATTGGAATTTGCCCGCCCAGAAACAAAACGGGTGTGTCTTGTTTCGGACCCCAACGGCTGGGTTCCTTTTGGCTTGCCTTAACCAAGAGACGGTTTTGCCAAAAAAAGATAGACCCATGCTGGTTTTCGGGCTGCCCCCGATCCCCCGATCCCCCGATCCGGTCCCCTTTCCAGTCCGATCAGGCTCTCGGAACCGATCTGGACTGGCCTGCCGGGGCCAGTGTCGCGGGTTCTGAGCTAACCTGATCTAATAACAATCCGTAATTATCTTCTTTGATTTTTGTCACAACCCCAATTGGACAAGTTACATCATGTTGCCAGAGCAACTTAAAAGACGAATTAGATGAATTATTCCAATTATTATCTGCAGTTGAGCTGCACCAATGGCGAGCTGACCTGTTGAACCGATGAGGGGCCCGGGAGTTTTGAATGGTTGGCTAGATTGGTGAAATATAGTTTGTGCAGCTTGACGCGCGCAATGGGTTGCGGTCTCAAAAGGGCGCTGGCCCTTGGTGTCCAAGGGCCTGGAGTGGATGTGTCTCTTTTTCAGGCCGCAGCAACCCACAATCGCCAGGGAATGTGTCAAGCATCGTATATATGTTTTGGAGTTGTGGTTTTCTTTAATGAAGTCTTTTTTTGTATTTGCTTTTTTTGGTTGCGGGTTTTCCTCGGGTTTTCCTCGGACATGACCTCGGGCTTTCCCCTTCAAAAGCCGCCCGAGGCCTTGCGGCATGTGGGGCTGGGTTTGTGGCTCACCGACTTGGCAGCGCTCAAGAAGGTGCGGAGCTGAGGGTGAGGCCCGTAACGCTTTCTGGGTCACCAAGTATCAACATGTACACATCAATATATATGTATATATATATATACACAGGTATATATATATATATACATAAAGTATTAGTATAGGGATACATTATACATATACAATGAATATATATATATATATATATATTATAGTACCTTGATATAAGATATATGTATGACATATTGTGTATACATATATATATATATATACATACATACACATGATATTGCATGTATGTCGATCCTACTCCTTTGAGCTGATTTACCTGATCCTCGGCTCAGCTCGCATGGGTCAGCTCGCGAGGTGCTGGAGCAGTTGCCTCGCGTGCTGCTGCGGCGCCAGGGGCAGGAGTTGAGATTTTCGAAAACGAGCAGAGTTTCAGCACCAATCTCAAGCTATTGTCATTGTCATTCAAACAAGAGGAAAACACCAGGTGTGTGGACTGTATAGGTTTTGTTCCCTTCATGCCTCCAGTTTCACTGCATACCTTTGATGGCAGAGGACCCCCTTTTGGAAGGTGTGGAACCAAAAAGAATCACTCCGTTTGAACATGGAAATTACCTTTTGCCCTGTCGAAGTGTGGGGCACCATATTTGTGCCCCCCTCCCTTCCTCCCTCCTCCCCTCCCAGCCAGCCCCCATGATTTATGGCTTCGTTAGTGGTGCTCCGGTGCAGGATCTGCAGCCGGAGACTGTGGCTCTTTGGTATGCGCTGCTCGGGAGGCGCTCATTGTTGGCACAGCCGGTGTCCCGGAGTGAAGTTCGTTGCCGTTTTTTGTTTCGTAAGCGTTTTTGGGTATTTAGGCGTGAGCCAGTCTTGTCGCACCGCTTTTCAGTCGCGTTCGCATGCAGACTGTACTGAATTTCGGAGAACCTAGGTCAGCCTCTATGTCCTTTGTTGGTTTACTGCATGTGAAATGGTGGATAGAAAGCCTGGCTGCTCGGTCTCCGCAGCTGCTTTTTTTCGGCTTTTTGGCCTGGCTGCTGTGAACTCTCCTGCCACTTGTCACCGAGCGCCTGGGCCGCACGATTCGAAGAGTCAGCCAATTCGAAGTCTTTTTGCCTTGCCCTGTTTGGGTTTGTAGTTTTTTTTTTGGAAGCCAAAAGGCAGTGTGCGTATTTTTGGTTTTAAGGGGAAGCCAAAAGGAAACCACAGTTTTTGACGTGTACCGTATACCGTATACCAATGTCGGCTCTGGCAAAGGCAGGGACCATTTGTGGGGGTTGGTTGGGGACACTGAAGGCAACGCTTGGACCCCGTCATGTAGAGAATCCCATATGTGCCATGGGGATTTTGACATTTTTACTTTGGGTTGGTAGGGATGGTCATCAACCCCGTAAGACATTTTAGAAGACCATGACACCCGAATAACGGAATCATGACGACAGCCATGGCCATGCGGAGTTTGAGAATAGCATATGGCTGTGGCTCAAAAACATGTACCACAACGGCATCTTGGCAGATGGAAACAAGGACAAAACTTGCGTAACCCTACGGTGACGACTTTTAAATATGTGGGGGCCGGGCCTGGGCTTCAGGGCTGGGAGGTAGTGTAAGACATCTGTTTAAATCGGATATTTAAAGTGGCTGGCCGGGCCACCCTAAGGGGATCTGGAGGTAGTATGAAATACCAATTAGGATATTTAAGTGGCAACACCGAGACAGACCCCTTCCCCGTAAAAAAAACAGGGCGAAACACAGTTCAAGCCCTTGCTAGCAGCTGCGTTGCGCTAGCTCCTGCCAAGCCAGGTCAGATTGCACAGGTCCAACCTAAGGAGACATGTCGGAGAAGACCTATGCTTCGTATCTCCATGCTACATAAACGCCTGGAATTGTGGAGCTAAGCGCGCTGAATTGAGCTGCCCAAGCCCTGTCTACGTGGCTCGTGGAGAAAGAAAGCAAGAACATGAATGGCCGTTGGGACTCCCAGATTTCCTTGAATTCTTGAAACTCCTGGCGTCTTGGGATGGGAGCTGCTTTTAAGCAAATCTCAGAATGAAAAGAATTGGAAGAGAAGAAAGAGAAGCAACAGAGAGAGAGAGAGAGAGAGAGAGAGAATGCCTGGATCTGGCATTGGGCCCTGTGTCAGACCTGTTTCAGACCTGTTTCAGACCCCTGCAAAAGGACCATCTCAAATTCGCAAAATCCTGCCCCGAATCCCCAGCACCAGTATAGCGGTGCAGCGGCTCGCGGGCCGTGGAGGTAGTATGAAACATTAATTGGGACATGGTGCAACACCGATGCCTGCAATTGCAGACCAATGCTTTCGTAGTTCCATGCTACATAGACGCCTGGAATTGCGGAGCTAAGTGCGCTGAATTGAGCTGCCCAAGCCCAGAAAGCAAGAAGGACATGAATGCCCCTTGTCTTGGACGGGACTCCCAGATTTCCTTGAATTCTTGAAACTCTTGGCGTTTGGGGATGGGACCTGTTGTCTTTAACAAATCTCAGAATGAAAAGAATTGGAAGAAAAGAAAGAGAAGCAAGAGAGAGAGAGAGAGAGAGAGAAAAAATGCTTGGATCTGGCATTGGGCCCTGTGTCAGACCTGTTTCAGACCTGTTTCAGACCCCTGCAAAAGGACCGTCTCATATTTGCACAACCCCGAATACGTAGCACACACGCTAGCTCCTGCCAAGCCACACAGGTCCAACCTAAGGTGCCATGTCGGCGCAGCACTGATGTCTCTAATTGCAGACCAACGCCTTCGTAATTCCATGTTACATGCCTGGAATTGGGATTGAGCTGCCTAAGCCCTGTCTACGTGGCTCGTGGAGAAAGAAAGCAAGAAGGAGCTTATTTTTAAACCCACAGAATGAAAGGAATTGGAAGAGAAGAAAGAGACGCAAGAGAGAGAGAGGGAGAGAGAGAGAGAGAACGCATGCATGTGGCATTGGGCCCTGTGTCAGACCTGTTTCAGACCTGTTTCAGATTTGTTCCAGACCCCTGCAAAAGGAGCATCTCATATTCGCAACATCCGTAGCACACGTGCTGGCTCCTGCCAAGCCACACAGGCCCAACCTAAGGCGCCATGTCGGCGCAACACTAACGCTTCTAATTGCAGACCAACGCTTTCGTACTTCCATGCTACATAAATGCCTGGAATTGCGGAGCGAAGTGCGCTGATTGAGCTGCCTAAGCCTTGTCTACGTGGCTCGTGGAGAAAGAAAGCGAGAAAGACATGAATGCCCCTTGTCTCGGACGGGGCACACACACTTTGCCTTAAATTCGTGAATCTCCTGGTTTCTTGGGATGGGGCCTGCTTTTCAACAAGTCCCAACTGGTTGCGGAAGATGTAATTGGCAAAACAGCAAGCAAGTTGACAAGGCGGGCCGGGCCAGAGGCAGGCTTTCAAGACGTAACGCAAAATACCTATCTAAATCGGGTATTTAAGTTGGTCGGCCGGGCTGGCGGTAACGCTGGCGGAGGTAGTGTAAAATCTTTGTTGACCTATTTAAGTGTCCGGGTGTTTAAGTGGCGACACCGTAGTTTTTTCTTTTGAGCCGCACCCACATGTCTGGCGCGGATGACTCGCTTTGCTTGGTGACAGCTAAGGAAGTGATGTGCCTCGGAGCGCCAATCGCCGCTTTGCCACGTTCAGTACCGAATGGTTGTTACTTTGGACGGATGGACCAAACATCAACGATGGTTGATGGACATAAATACTCATGTAAATGATGTCCACCAAAGGGTCAACGGGACTCCACAGCCAAAGTCTTGTTTGCAGATGGCCGCAATTTTGTCCAGCAGAAGGTACCAATTTCATTGCTGTGAAACGAATTAATTTGCATAGGGCGCGGTAAAATTACAGATTCAACCGTGTCATGATTCTGCCATGCATGCCCCTCATAGCTGATTTGCGCTTGCCACCTGTTCTGACCATATTGGATCGTAGCGTTTTGCGGCACGCAGCATACCATGTGCATCGATTTGGCCTTGCTCCCTGCCAGGTCAGTGGTCATGCTGCTTGCGAATGCCATCTCGCAAGCCAAGTTCCCAAGGCGCGAGGGAGCGTGCCAACCCCCACAAGCTGCGAAGGGCTTCAAGATGTGGGGGTTGATCAGCATTCCCGGCCCCCAGTTTTGACCATGGGCAGCTTTTCCCATGTGGGAAACATCAATCTGAGTGGCTTTCCAGCCAATGGTCTTCCTGTGTTCATCGGACCTTTTGATCAGCCGTCAAAGAAGGGCACCCTCGAAAGCGACATGTTGGTGTCAAAGGTGGGGGCCATGGACCGAAAGGCTTCCCATGCCGATGGCAGGTACAAGCAGCCAAGGCCCTTGACAAGCCTCAGGCTCGAGGGTTCTATAGGCCCCTGAGAGGACAACATAGGGCGCATGTTTTTGGTGACACGGCTTCTTGGAGCCCGTGCGCAGGCCAGCAAAAAGCCATCGCAACCTTTTGACAAGTTCGAGACACCAAACAAACACTTCGCTTCGAGCAATCCCCACCCTCCACACGCGCGAGCTTACGACCGTTACAACAAAATCCTCCGCATCCTAGAGACTTCGACTCCAAATTCCCATCGGCCCTTTTGGACATTGAGCAAAACCAGACTGGCGAGCTGCTCTGGCGGGATACTGGCGGGATCCACTGGCGAATACTGGCGAGCCGCTCCGGGTCGATACTGGCCGGATACTCGGCAGGATCCGCTGGCAAGGGATACTCAGCGGGATACTCGGCGGGATCCACTGGCGAGCTACTCTGGGATACTCGGCGGGATTCACTGGCGGGCTGCTCTGGCGGGATACTCCGGCGCGATCCACTGGCGAGCAGCTCTGGCGGGATACTGGGCGGGTTTTGGTCTGGCAGGATACTCGGCGGGATCCACTGGCGAGCCGCTCTGGCGGGATACTCGGCAGGATCAACTTACCCCCTCTGGCGGGATACTCGGCAGGATCAACTGGCGAGCCGCTCTGGCGGGATACTCGGCGGATCCACTGGCGAGCCGCTCTGGCGGGATACTCGGCGGGATCCACTGGCGAGCAGCTCTGGCGGGATACTCGGCGGGATCCACTGGCGAGCTGCTCTGGCGGGATTCTGGGTGGGGCGTGGTGTAGAAGCATCGCAAACCCGGATTCCAAGATAGAATCTAACAACCCCTTCCTGGTGGGGGGGAAAAAACAAAAGCCATCGGGACCTTTCGGACCACGCAAACTGACCCTGGTGAGGGGGGGGAGGGTTTTGGGTGGGGGGGAATGGTTACGTTCGTGGTTACAGCGAGGGCGCAACACCGTATAGTAGAGCTAGATGGCCGAAAAAGTGCCAGGAGCCCCGCTGTCGGTGGGATCCTTTTCAAAAAGATTGTGCCAGCGCAGAATGATCGCTTTTGCATCGTTTTGTCTTCGGTTCCTCCCAAACAAACTTTTTAGTCCCTGGTTTGCAACACCCCGTCTTGATAATTCCACACGCAGGCCATACAAAACAGCGGTGTTACACCGGGCTCCAAGAAGCCGTGTTACCATGCTTCCTGGCCATTCCTCTTCAGCTCTAGCTTCATTTCTCGCTCAATGTGTCTCTCCGTATCTCTCTTCATCTGTCTCCATCTTCATTTCTCTCTCCATGTTTATTTAATTTCTCGCCATGTCTGTACCTCTCTTCATCCTTCTCCACGTTCATTCATCTCCCTCCTTTGTAGTCCATGTTTCTCAAGTTTTGTCCATCAATGTTGTCCTTTTTTCATTTCTCCCAGCATGTCCCTCTACACCTCGACTCTACATTCTAGCTCTCTATCTGCTGACC